CGTTTTTTCTTGGCAAAAAAATGTTCACTATACACAAGTTTTACTGTATAACCTTTTAATTTGAAGTATGACCTGAATCGATTGCAAACTTTATATTTGCACATCTGATGTGATATACCATATTTGTGTCATATTGTGCAATTATTTTATTTGCAATCGATTCAGGTCATAGTGTATTTAAGGTATTTTTGTGAAAATCAATAGAAACCAATGGCCTCCATCGGAATCTGATGGTATCCACATGTTAAGTCAATAGAACACATCCAATGTCATGTCAATATACCCTTGCTGAAGTTAATGACCTCAACCTCGGCCAATGTGGGTCGAAACGCTTAAATATTTTCAAAAATATTATGTGACATTGTATTCTTCATGTTACAGCTAAAAATGATTCATTTTGTTCATGGGGAAATCATAATGGAAAGTGCACTAGACTCTTTAATTGTGGTTGAATATGAAATAAGCAAAAATAAAAAACAAAATGTTTTAAGTTGACTAGATTTGAACCCAGACCCAACGGATATGAGTCCGAAGTGCTATCCATTACACCATAGAGACATGACCTTTAACCACACTCACCACATAAATATAACTCCACGTCCACTGACATGGTTTCAGACGAGTAACTTAACAGAAAATTTTCTTAAACCTGTACTTGAGCATGGACTTACGCGTTCAGGTTCACGGTTTACATTTATACATGTAGCTTAACCTCTCTAATGATTGCACGTAAGAACTTCAAAGGACTAGTATTAAGATGGCAAGAGATTTTGGACAGCTGTATTTTTGGTCACGGGTATTTTCCGACCATACAATGAATATTTTATATTAAAACAATATCTTGACTTCAACAAATGTGCATGAAAAAAATAAAAATCTCATTTTAATAATGAGATTAGCCATGGATTAGTAAGCCACCTTCAATAATATTGACCTTATTACTGAAAAAGATTACCATGATTTTTCATATTTTTTGCAATATAAGATTACACTGTAAGGTAGCATTCACTTCATATAAGGGCATATGGATTGAAAAGTTAATATGAAAGTTACATGGGAATGAGGATTATCCAATGGGAAATCCCATGTTATGGAGTTCGCCCTGTCCATCTTTGAAAGTTCTGTTTACCCATCGATGCATTAATGAAGGAACATTTGTAAATGTATGTATGTGTTGACAGCTAATGAATGCATGACAGTTTGCTAGGTCATGGGAAACCAATATAATCCATTATTTATGTGAGTGGATTTAATTCAATACCAGAGTATCCAATGAGGCATGAATATAATAACATTGACTGACTTATACTGGACCTATGAAAAACTGATGTACAGTAAAGCTATGTATGAATGTGAAAATGTATGAAAAGGGGATGGATTACGAAACTGATTTTGGTAACAGTTCCACAATTTGTAATCCATTTTTCAATCTCTGACAATACCACATGTGCTATTCTGACATTACAATACCACATTTGTTACTCTGACATGGCAATACTACATGAATTTCTCTACATTGTAATATCACAAGAGCTACTCTGACATTGCAATACCGCATGAGTTACTCTCACATTGTAATACCACAAGAGCTACTCTGGGGAAAGTTCAATTGAGTCTCATTTGATACCAATGAAAAATAAAATACCCATTGAAATTTACTAGTATGTGATTCTGTTGTCCTATTGAAGTTTTAAAGACTCAGTCAGATTTTGTTGTACTGAGACTCCACTGGCAAATATATACACTTACTAAAGTCTCACTGAAATAAGGAGCATATTCCTTATTTCCATTGATTTACTTTTCAATATACTTCACAAAAGTATTTGACATGTATGGATGGTACATTGACATAATCATTGACCTTGTTATGTTGCTGATAATTGTAAATTGTATGTACAGGGTGAGCCAAAAAAGGTAACCCTAACAAATATTAATAAATCAGGTTTAGTGTTACATTTGGCACACTTAGGCCTTGTCTAATATATTGTCATTCTAGTTCTACCAAGTTTTAATGGTCTATCTCTAGTGGTTAAAATTTTGTGGCTATTTAACAAAACATGCCACAAATATGGGATTCATGTTTGAAGACCAACTTGAACGTTTTGGGCTTAGTTGTACACAACACGCTCATAAACATCTTGTGTTATGGCTCTTATCTTCCTTCTTATCTCTTGTTTCTATGTTTCAGGGGATGTTAGTGTAGAAAATAGGCCCAAAGATAAAGCTCTGGTGGGATTTATGTCCAGTCAGTGAGACACATTTCAGCATTTGACCATGTTTTGTAAATAACCATAAAATCGTGACTACTATAGATAGACCAATGACACTTAGTAGAATGAAAGAACATTGACCAAGGTTTTAATCCAATTTATTCTGATTTACTTTTCACCATCAAGTGTAGGCAATCAGTTGGGTCATTTGTAAGTATAACTCACTCAATAAGTTAATTAATTTGATCTATATTCATTTCAAAACGCTAGCCTGTAATGCACATTGCGCAAGGATTGACTTATGTAACTTTTAACTGCAATATAATTGAGAATTAATTTTTTTGGGTTACCTTTATTGGCTCGCCCTGTATCTTCGCCTCTTACACCGTTTCATCTAATTGTGTATCGTTTCAATTTATATTCTTAACATTTACAGAAATGAATCACAAACACCCGTATTTTGATTAGAAAATAAAATAGAAAAAGCTTATAAAATGGGATTAGTACAAAACATGGCACTAAGCCATGGCATATTCTATGGCACCCCTGTGTCATTGGCTCTTGAATACTAATTCAGATTTATTTGATTATTTTTGTTCTTGATCCTCTTACTAAGTTTTGTTTTTGGCAAAGAGAGAATGGGTCCTTGAGTACGTACTACATACGTCTGTAACTTGATTCAGATTTACAAATGTTCATTCATGGCAAACTATGCCAAGAAAGATAACTTTAGTAAGAGGCTCAAGAACAATGTTTGGAAGGGTAGACATTTGTAAGGGTAATCATAATCTACATAAATATGCAAGAATTTGACTCGAAATAGTGTTTTAGTGCCTACAGTATGGCATAGGGGGTGCCGTAGCCTATGCCATAGGGTGTACCTGTGCCATGACACGGTGCCATGTTTTGTACTAACCCATTTTGAATGGAATTTATAATTAGCAATTCTACCTCACCATATCTATATAATTATATGGAATAAGACTGGAGTAATAAAAACCTCGCTATATCCCAACCAAATGAAAGTGTTTTTCTTAACGTTTGCAGAGGATTTTAGCATTTGACTTCAAAATGGCCGACAGGAAGTAGGTATCGAGTTAAATTTTTTTCATCCACATCTGTATGTACTCATAATTAGTTATCCCTGAAAATTTGAAGGTGATATCTGTATTTCAATTTCAATTTTCAATTTATTAAATATATATGCATACAACAATACAAAATTGATGAAGGGAGCGAGACACCACTGAAAGGTGTATGGTGCCCCCTGTAACAATAAAAAATTCATATGAATAAGCAATTGAAGATGACAAATAGGTATATGAATGGAAAAAATCCTTGAACAATTATATTAAGTAAAAAAGGTTTTGTTCCTGCGATTTCAGCTATGATACAAAGCTGTTTTGGCTTCCTCCCAATGTCCCCGTTTCCTGATATAGTTGGTGTTCATGCTAAAGATAAAAAACAAAGATAAGAATTCTTGAGATCAAAAGTGCCAGAAAATGCCCAAATGGAATGGTGCGTTGGGAATTTTATTGTAATCAAACAACATGTGAGCACCTCAAAGTCTTGGTTGTGGCTGAGTTAATAGATGATGAAAATATTTTGATTTGAATAATTTTTCTGAGTTCAATGATCTTATATTCTCTGGGATTGAATTCCAGATGGTTTTGCCTTGAAAGCTAATAGAGAATTTGCCTATGTTTGTGTTAAACTTGGGGCCTCTCAGGTCAAATTTGTTTCTTGTGTCGCGGTCATGGATGCTATAATTGGTTGTAAAGTAAGAAGAATAAAGATCATCCATCAGGTCATTATTGCCCTTTACACATTTGAAAACAAATAAAGCAATTCTCAACTTAACAATTTGATGAATATTTAGCAATTTATGTTCAATAAAGAGTGGTTTAGTTGGATCTCTATAGTGATGAGATTTATCGAGCATACGTATAAACTGTTTTTGAATTGAATGAAGCTTATTTAAGAGAGTTTCAGGCACACATCCCCACATTATTATGTCAGAATTAAAATTGGAATAAATAAGGGAGTAATAGAGAGTTTTAAGACTTGCAATATCCAGTAGATGTTTGACTTTATGTAATGTTCCAATAGTTTTTGATAATTTATTTTCAAGCATATGAATATGATGTTTCCAATTCAGTCTGTCATGTATCTGTTTTGGAGAAAACTGCCGGACATACGGACGGACAGATGGATGGACGGACGGACGTACGGACAGACAGACAGATGAACGGACGTGCGGACAGACAGACGGATGAACGGACAGACAGACGCGCCTAGGCCGATAATATGGCCCCACACTATGTTATATTTTACAAGACTCCCCTTATTTCTTAAAAATGGACTGATCCAGTTGACGCGCCAGGAGCCGCCATATTGTTTTTATACGGGAAGCTTATCGAAACCCTTTAATTGTCAGCTTAAGTTGAGCAATTTTTGAGATACCATCTCCTGGAGACCTTCCCATATACCCTATATTCACTGGGATTTGCATCAGGACATCATGGTAATCAGGCGGTATTAGTTCAGAAACTTTTTGCAAATTATGATTATTTCTCATGGCACACATGTTTATGCGATAGGCTGGTGACATATTTTATTTAAGTAAAATTTAAGTAAAGTTTTTTATCCCACCCGGAATACCTGGAATAACATTTTGTCTAATTTTAGATGTATTTAATGCCTTGGACTTATACTTTGCTAATTTTGCTTTCATTCCAAACTCTGATATTAATAACAACACATGGCATGTGTTCATGTTTACAAAAATACCTTGTAGTTTTAGCAAGTTGGGTTGATAGAGAAGAGTTAGATTGCTCCAGTGTCTCCACTCTGGCAGACAGCTTCTTCAATGTATCCTTCAGCAGCTTATTAGCAGTTTGTAAACTATGAATCTATAACATAATATATCAGCCAATTTGTAGATGTTCTATGGTTAATATGTTGTTTTCCATATTCTTAGCGCAAGTGTATTGCTTCTTTGCAATGACATGGTAATTAAAGACATTGGATATGGTATATATGTATATCTCAATCTAAGGAATAGCATCTGCCACCACATACTTATTCAGTGGTTATATTAGCAGCAGGCAACAGGCGATTTTCACTGCTTGTTTTCACAAAATTGCCTGTTGATTTTAGGGACTTTTCAACTTTTCCAAGTTATGATTTCCATTAAATTTGCCTTTTGTTTTCATTTATTTGGTCTGTTGTGTGAAATTCTGAAAAACCCTGCTTAATTGTCCATTTTTCAATAATAGTTGTGTGGCAATAAAAAAATATGGATGTTTTTTTGGTCCAATTTGTTTTCAACAATTATATTGTGCATCCTACAAAGTGTCCTACCGCTTTAATAATATTTCAGCTTTAATAATATTTTACTCCTCGTTTGCAATATTTCACATTGTACAATATACACCGCATATGTACCTGACTCTCCTGTGCTATGTTGGGGCTTCCTGCAAACTGGACCCCCTTGTAGTCACAAGACTCTTGATGCTGGGAAACCTCATTAGACCTCCCTGTCACATCACACCCTGTAACAATCACAGCAACATCTTGGCATTATAGGTTTAAACAAGCCATTAACATTACCAAAAAATCTTAAGTTAGATTTGAACTTCTGAGAACTTGGAGAGGAATATGAAAACAAGGCATTAACATGACAAAATGTCACCAGCTTGTTGCTCACAATATTATTAATCCAATCTTAAGTCAGATTTGAATTTCTGAGATCTTTTCATTTAGCTTCCTTTCAGGTAGGAAAAGTTGGTATCTTGAGCTTCTTAAAATGACTTTCCAAGGTTTGGTAGGGCCCCTTTGGTCAAGCAAAAAAGCTATACTTTCCCTTGTTATTCTACAAAACGTGCATATAAGGTCAAGTGTATTTTTTGGACTGAAACAAAAGAGCAATATTACAGACTTTATACAGTAACCACATCATCTTGAAAACCAACAAGACTGTTTCCGTATCATACATTTTCAGTAACCTTCCCTTAAACGGTGAAAGATATCGTTGAAATGTGGCACCCAGGCACGACATATAGACAAACCAGAACAACGGCAACGCCAAAGCGTAGCGAATCCCATCGAACATTTTTCAAAACGGGCACCTTCTACCAAAAGTGTCATTAGACAGTGTGCCATGCTTATAATATTCACATACCAAATATGAATTAAATCGCTCTACTACTTTTCGAGTTATAGTAAAATACGTTAAAATTATGGCCATTTTGAAAAATGGCCGCCTTCTACCAAAAGTCTCATTAGACAGTGTGCCATGCTTATAGTATTCACATACCAAATATGAACAAAATCGCTCCACTACTTTTCGAGTTATAGTAAAAAACGTCAAAATGGCGGCCATTTTGAAAAATGGCCGCCTTCTACCGTAAGTGTCATTAGACAGTGTACCATGCTTATACGTATTCACATACCAAATATGAACAAAATCGCTCCACTACTTTTCGAATTATAGTAAAATAAGTTAAAATGGCAGCCATTTTTCAAAATGTCCACCATTTTTCAAAATAGCCGCCTTCTACCAAAAGTGTCATTAGACAGTGTGCCATGCTTACAGTATTCACATACCGAATATGAACAAAATCGCTCCACTACTTTTCGAGTTATAGTAAAATACGTTAAAATGGCGGCCATTTTGAAAAATGACTGCCCTCTACCAAAAGTGTCATTAGACAGTGTGCCATGCTTATACGTATTCACATACCAAATATGAACAAAATCGCTGCACTATTTTTCGAGTTTTAGTAAAATAAGTTAAAATGGCGGCCATTTTTCAAAATGGCCGCCTTCTACCAAAAGTGTCATTAGACAGTGTGCCATGCTTATAGTATTCACATACCAAATATGAACAAAATCGCTCCACTACTTTTCGAGTTACAGCAAAAATCGTAAAATAACGAGTAAAGGCCGCCATTTTTCAAGATGGCTGCCATGTGCTTTTTTAATATCTACATTTCTAGCTTTATTAATGTCCTATATAATTTTCTTTACATTTAAAACATATTGCTATTACAGTTTTACATATTGCACCTAAATTACTGTAAAATCGGCACTAAAATGGCCGCCATTTTTAAATGAACGGCCATTTTGAAAATCGGCTTTCAAGCAGAACTTCTACCCCCATAGGGTATAAGTGTACAAAATATGAATAAAATCGGGCCAACGGTATTTGACTTATTGCCCGGACGGACGGACAGACGTACGGATGTACGTTCAGACGTACGTACGTACGTACGTACGTACGGACGGACGGACGGACGGAGGCGTTCCCTATATCCCTCCGAACTTCGTTCGATGGGATAATGATCCTCTTGAATGTGAAGGTGACGATAGTTACCTTCGCTTGATATTGACCACTGAAATAGTATCATAATTGGAAAAGCGAGACAGGAGCTTCTGCAGGTCAAAATGTGTTTCTGTAAGTAGTATTTAATCCGAGTGGTTAATTTGCTGAATGGTCAAATTTTATCATTTTCCTAATTTTGATTTTCCTTGTGACAACAAACTTCCAATTGGATAATTCCAATTGAAGATATTTCTGACATTTAATTTTGCAAACCTGGCAAAAATTAGGCAACAGGAAAATTACATGATTTAGCAAAATAACAACTTATACCTTGGTCACATTTGCTCCGATTTTCACTACGGCACCCGACCGATTGAGTATTTTGTTTAAAATTAAATACAATATTGAACAAAACACTCAATCAGGTGGGCGCCGGCCCATGGATCAAAGCAAATGTTACCAAGGCATTACAGAGTATTGTTAGTACCTCAGTGTAAATACTCGATTCTGATTGGTAAATTAGCCGTCAACATTTTGACCTGTACCCCACCTGTGCATCATGGGATATGCTATTATTGACCGCTCTTTGCTTTACGGGTATACAGTATGTGACTGTACTACACTTGTGAATAATGCAGGCCTGTCAACTTGGGAACACCTAACATGAGTGACTTGGAAATGTTGAACACCTCCCCTCAAAATATGGACACCTTGGTCCAAATCTGAACACCTTGACCCAAATTTTGAACACCTTGGTTTAAATTTTATTACACCTTGCCAAATTTTGAACACCTCATATTTTTCGCGCTTGCTACGCTCCCGTTTCAAACATCTATCAACGGGGGGGGGGAGGTACGGAAAATTTCGAACGGAATGCGTGACATATACTTAATTCGCGTGAAAAGTCCGAACGAAATGCGTACATTTTTTTCCGGCGTTCGTATTTTTCCTGTGTAGACGATCTTTTTTAGAAATTTTTCTACAGAAATACTTTTGCTTGACAATTACCAGGGAAAATGCGTATTTGCGTGACATTTTCTGTCACGCAAAAATAACTGGCGTGACTTCAAATTCTTCAGCAAATGCGTGACAAATACGCAAATTGCGGGACAGTTGACAGGCCTGATAATGGGATTGATGACATCATCCAATTTTTAGAAAAAAACAACATGACAGACAGATGGTCAATGTTGATGAAAGTATACCTTGACTTAACTAGACAACAAAGATAGCAAAAAGATGAAGATAAAGGTGAGGCCGAGATATTGGTTGTTAAAGCAACCAATTAAACCAAGTATCAGTCAACCCTCAATGTAATTTAATTTGTTAAATAAATATACACTGATAGATGCCATACCCATAGGTATGAAGCTTTATGACTCAACCATTATTCTCTAAAATTATAACAATCACTGGTATCTTGTTACCATGGTAACGTGAATAAAAAAAAGATGAATTTAATCGATTTTCATAGTTAAAACATTTAAAAATGGAAGGGAACGTAAGTTATTTTATGTTTTCTTTAGAATTTGAATTTTGTTTTTCTAAGATGGTATGTTTGTAGTACAAAATAAATGTTTATTATTTTAGACCAAGTTATTTATATTTTTGAAGCCCTGAGCTTAACAAGTTAGAGCCTAGCAACAATCTACCTTCTAATAAGATGTGCAATTTTTCGCATTATTATTTTTGCCTAGTAACCACCTAGCATGAAAAAGTTATGACCACTTTGATGATATTTGGGAGTGGTACTTGAGACATCACCCGTTATGAACATGTATGAAGTCATGAAATCTGTGTCAAATGGTGAGCAGTCTCATTCAGGAAACCTTGGAGACATAGTTGGATCCCAGGTTTTGCCCAATTGGGCTAGGAATCGGTATGTATGTATGTATCGGTAGAATTCGTGTACAATGTACTAGAGGTGTAACTCGCCAGAAAAATCCAACTCGAGTTCAACTTGCCAAATATTTCCAAAACTCGAGTAAAACTCGAGTTAATTCATTTCGTCCAGTACATATTGTAAACCCGGGTACACAAAATTACTGTAACTTCTCACAGCAAGTTTCTCTGGTTTAGTCACATCTAAAAGCTGTTTCCTAAAGTTTTGGATGAAGATATGAAGCATACATTTAAAAATGAAGCGATTAATTTGACGATCTGATTTTGCAATTTGCAATGGCCAATTTACGGGTTTACGAAAAAGACCGACCCCACCGACCACCGACCGGTCGGTGTTTTCCACTGGTAGCCTCAAAACAGGGTTTGAAGAAAATGTGTAAAAGACCGAACATATTTGTAGCCTTAAAATATTAATAATTTGATTTTGAATGTCAATCGTTGGACTTTTTGTTTCGTGGTGTGTAATGTCATATGATTGTTGGACAATTAATTGGACGTTAATCATTGGACAATCGTTTTGTACCTTGCAACGAATGGCAAGCAAACAAATTGGGCATGACTGTCTCCTCTCGATTAATTGTCCTGGCTAAGGTCCAAACCTATCATTAACCAACCTATCGTTTCTTTTTATGAAATTTAAACCTGCACATCGCTCCAAAACGCAATCTTGGGTTGTTTCGGGGTGAACTTTATCATTTTGAGCTTAATGAAAGATTATAGGATGATGAACAAATGGGGCAAATCTTGTGTATAAATACTTACGATGAATGTGTCATTTCAAAGATTGTTCTTCGATTGGTGACGACGATATGATTTTGGAAAGGTTTAAGAGGAGGGAAAGCCCCAGAGTTTTAAGATGACAGACATAATTACCTCTCTTGCTTACCACCTTCGTTCGTTAGAATTTTCATTGGCTAGTTATCAAATATTACACTTCGATGGGATGTTTTAATTGACAAAGGCATACACATACAATGAGAAGCTATGATATTGGTTAACACGCCAGAAATGAACATAATATTATTCGAAGCGTATTTCGAAAATTTTGAAACCGCCATCGATGACGTCATTTGTTTGTGGCCTTGCGGTAGAATGCTCGCTCAGTACGCAGGAGGCCAGGTTCGAATCCCGCACAAACTTTTTTTATTTTTTTAACTAAATGATTGTTCTTTGATATTATGCAGAGAAAACAATTTTTATTTACATAAACTTTATATTACAGTTTGAAAATGTAAAAACAATATATGTCAACATATTGCATTTTGGAGCGATGTGCAGGTTTAACAATTTCGAAACAAAAATGATTTGTTATCGTCATAGCCTACT